AAACAGAGTTTAGCTCTCCTCTACATGGATCTCATTTCTGAAGAATAATCATGTTGGCAGGTCTGACGTCTCGCTGTAGGTGTCGGTGCATCTGTGGAAGTTAACCGTGCTGCACTTGTCCCTGTGTGAGAGTCGAGGCCTAAAACCATCGTCTGAGAGTTCGGGGTTATCAACAGGTTTCTCTTTGCTTGAGGCGAGATTTTTCTATCTGTTTTACCTTGTTCCTTTTAAAGTCGAAATATGTCCAAGATCTGACCCTGATCTAACTTTTCCCTTCTTCCTAAATATAACATTAGATGTGCTCCAAACACACCACTTACAATGCATTATAAGCCCTTTTATAAAAGCCTTGGAACTGCATTTACGGGGCTCTTTTTTCACTGTTTTCTTCAATTCGGTTGATGTCCCTTCACTAAAAAATAGCCACGATAACTATACTTCCACATTGTCAACAAAAAGAAGTAAAAATGAACCTTTCCTCAGCTTGTTTTGGTTTGATGTGTTCGATCAGGTTGCCTCTGGAAATATTTGTTGTCATGCAAACCAACTCGTGAAAAATCATGAAAAAGTTTGCAGAGTATTATAGAAGTAGTTAGTTGTACATTTACAGGTTTATGTTTGTTACAACTGCAGCTGTTAGTTTGTTGTTTTCTCTTGATATCTTTAATTACTAATTATTTCTATTGTTTTTCTGTTTATAGGACCAGGGCAGGTAGATAGAGCAGGTGGGCATGTGGGTTAAGTGAATATTTGTATCAATAAAGTTTTGACGAAAAAAAAAAATAAAGGGAAATTAAAAATCCTGTTGAGGGCTGTTTTAGGAGAAGAGTGAGAAGAAGATTTTTTTATCCCCTGAGAGGAGGAGGAGCAGAAGAAGAAGAAGAAGAAGAAGGAGATAAAGAAGGAGGAAAAGAAGAAGAAGAAGAATGAGAATGAGAAGAAGGAGAAGGAGATAAAGAAGGAGAAAAAGAAGAAAAAGAAGAATGAGAATGAGAAGAAGGAGAAGAAGAAGAAGAATGAGAAAAAGGAGAAGAAGAGGAGGGAAACTAATTGTCCAAGATTAAATGCAATTGGAAAAAAACCAAAAAACAAAATCTGACCTCTTGGAGGAAGCTAAGGTATTGAACATTTCTACTTTTTAAATCTTATTTTAGCTGCTTTTACTCTGTTCTGTTATTTATAATCTCCTCCAAGCAGCATGTAAGTCATTTAAAAATAAAAGCATTTTTTTTCTTGACTTAAAATACAGAAATGTAAATGTAAGCCAGTAGAAAATGTCAAAATAAAAGCGTTACAAACATTCTCTGTGCTGAAGTATTGTCTTGTCCATCCCTGATTGACTGATTTTGTCCAAATTTTCCAAGTTTATCATTATTGCAGTTTTTTTTCACCACGATGGCCATGAGGTGAATATGAGATATTGTGACAGCGATTGTAAAAACGGAGTGCTCGGGCTTGTTATGGAAATTAATTGTCCTTACAGCAGCCAGGATGTATTAGTGCTCTGTATCCGTCTCATATTTCAAACAAAAACACAGTGACAACCAGCGCTGCCAGGAGGTGGACACCTGCGACACACCTGGCTCACATTAGCGTTGTTTTTCCTGTTGCATTGCAGAGAAATGTGCATGTCAACAAGTGTGAGGCTGATCTTTCTTGTCATATCTGTCTCAGTCGGTAAGGCTCTCTCTTTTCAAACGTGGCTAAGAAATATAGGAAATAAGCTACTTAACCAAATACACCGTCACAAAACTCTAAAGCAGCAGAAGGACAGGCTGCGAGCTGGAGAAGCTGGAGCTGTGAAGACAGAATGAGCTCTGTTTAACCTGTGAAGCCTCCTGACTGAAACAACGATCCCGCAGATGCAGGGTGTTGTGTCAGGAAAGTGAGGGGAAGAGGTGCAACAGCGTGACACGAACCAGGATTCACACTCATGTAGCTCTGTGACCTGAGTATGCAAATGAATACAGTCAGGTGCCTCTGTGTGAACACACACCCTGCTCCGTCACCCACTGTTTGAACTCCCATTATTCAGCAGAGAAGTCAAAAAGTCAGACTTTTACACCGACAGAAACGCACAAAACGTTAACACGCGCGTATTCTTCAGGAACCGCATGCATCCGAAAGGAGCCAGAACAATATCAGCATGATAAACACCTTGTATCCCCCCCTCCAGCTCCTTTATTTGACAAAATCGGGCAGATTTGAGGACAAGCCTTGAGGTTTATGTCATCATGCAAATGTGATGTGCATTTCAAATCCAAACAAAGTCAGTGTGTCTTTAAACCTCCTACTGAATACAGATTCCCATTTTACCTCAATCCATTTAGAGGGGGGAGGGGGTGGAGGTGGTTGGGGGAGTTGGAGGTGAGGAGGAAAGCAGAAATAAGCAGAGCAGAGGATGTGGATGAAATAAGTATAGAGGGATTATTTCATAAACAACAGATTTTTCTTTTCTCTGTAAGTCATTTGATCCTGTCAAATATGCCTAAAGCCATACGCCCACGTGCTCATTGTCTGAAAAATGCTCCGTTTATGAGACCCCCCCCCCCCCCCATCCCCTCCATCCCCTCCATCACCAACACCACCGCTGCTGCCGCCGCCACCAGCGCCACCTTTCAAACAATGAGCGGCGCGGTTGGCTGCTCAGCTCCGGCATCAGCCTCAGTGAAACCAGAAGAAGGTAAATGAGATTTAAATCATTGGACACACACACACACAGACGCATGCATGCAGCGGCCCAGGAGAGCGTGTTTGTTTGTTTGTCCCACGCTGCAATCAGTGAGCTAAATTGCAGAAGCCCCCGTGTGTTGTGTTTACCTCCAGGACGGCCAACATAGATGCAGAGCAAACACCGCAACTCCTTCTCCCATCTGGACCCCCTCTACCTCCTGACGTCATTTTAAGTAATCTCCAACTACTACATATGAGGGATAACACTGCATCTAACAAATACAACCGTCAAACATACTAAACGTGTTTGAATCATTGAATTTTAAAGATTACCTTCAAAAACAATTTCAAAGCCATCACTCTGTGAAATAGTGTGTACAAGTTTTATGTCGTACATGAAAAGCTAAGGCAGGGAGAGCCGCAGCAAAGACTCAGTAAGAATCAGTAACAAAGACACACATGGCAGTGGTAAAGTCCATCATGGCACTGATTTCTGATCAAGGGCCTGTGCACACTGGTTGCTTTTTTTGTGTCCTGGCAGATTCCAGGTAAGTGTTTTGCCCATTCAGTGTCCTAAATGCCAAAATGCTCTCGGATGAAGGTGTTTGAAATTTCAGAACATCACCACGAAATTGTCTACAACAATGGCAGTTGTCCGTAAAGATGAAAAAATAACCACACTTTCTTTTTTCTTCATTTAGTAAGTGTGGAGCTGTCTGCAGTGAAGCACTTAGAAATCAAGAAAACAGGTCCTGCAAGTGCAAAAAAGCTGTCAGTGGACACAGGCCCTAATGATGCCTTGGCTGCTTTCTATCAAGAATCAAACCAGAAAAACTAATGATGAATGTAAAGTAGTCTTATCAAATGCAGTTGATGAAGCTCATAATGTTCAGAGATGGACAGAGTACTTGACCCCAGTAGTTGAGTAAGAATACAAATACTCCTGGTCAAAATTTACTCCGCTACAAGTAAGAGTAGCCCAGTCAATTCGTTACTCGAGTAAGAGTAAAAAAGTACTTGCTTTTAAACGTACTTAAGTATTCAAGATTAAGTAAAAGTAACAGTAAGGGTAAATTCCTATTTTTTCACATGAATTACTGTCCTTTTTTCAATTTTATTTATAGTACCTTGTAACTCTTGTTTCAGAGAATTAACTCTTTGAAACCACCCGCACTGATGTGCTTGAAATTTACTCAAGTAAGAGTAAAAAACTTTACCTTGGAAATGTATTCAAGTAAGAGTAATAAGTATCAAAGAATTCTAGAATCTGAGTAAAGTACAAATCCTCAAAATCTGTACTTAAGTACAGTACTCAAAGTAAATTTACTCTGTTACTGTCCACCACTGATAATGTTGAGTGTAACACCTGTTTCAACCTACACATGGTTACCACCCGACAACAGGTGTTTCTCCTCAGCCCTATAAAGTCTTTCATAATCTTTTAGATTATTTTCTGTCTTTTTTTTCTTCATTTTCACCGGCTCCCAAGTTTGCAAGTGTCGTGCTGGACGCCGGGGAGGGTTTCCACTATCTTGCTACATGAGTATAATGTTGACACTGATTTGTAAAAGCTCTTTAAGGCTTCAGTAAATGATGATCTCTCATTAACCAATGCACTTGCTTTAAATGATGCCATAACTGAACGTACATGAAACTAATACGTCTCCATATTGTGGCTTTGAAAACAATCTAATTACATTGCGTCGTTTCTAATAACTGCTTTTAGGAACGTGTAATCAGCATTTGACAATGACATTTATATCGTTTTATATCACTCAAAGCATACTCTCTGTTCTGGTTGCAGATGGCTCCTTGGGCTTCGCAAACCGCACTGATAACAGTCTTTTGTGGAGGCATTTATGCAAAACCTGCATAAGATCCAGTAGAAAATCTTCAAATTTGATCCAAAATGGGAAAATATCTGTGAAAAATGAACGTTTGTGCGTGCATATGGAGCATTTTGCGTGTGTTTCTTTGTGTGTAAGTGCGCGGGGTTGTCTTTGCTATACTGGTGAGTCATGCAGAAAAGATACTGTAGAGTTATGTATAGAGTGAGTACAGTATGTGAGTGTTGGAAAGCATCCAAGTGTATGATGTATCCCATTGACTTGTATCTAAAGACACCTACTGACAAAGAAAGTTTGTTTTTCATCCCAATAGACTCAGAGAAAGAAAGCCAAACTGAAAATATTTCCCGTTTTTCCTGGATTTGTCAAATTATCATATAAATTCCAGCCAAACCTGGCAACACAGCCCGTGTTTCTTCTTCATTTTTTTTCTCTTTTGGGGGGCTGACAAATGATATGCTCAGAGTGAGCGCAAAGGAAATGGAGAGAGGAAGAGAAAGCGCTTGGCAGAGCAGCGTCCAGGCGAATCGGGCGAGAGAAAATGCGGAGAATGAGCGATTGAACCAGTGTGGGAGAGCGAGTGGGTGAGGGAGGTGGGGGGGTTTGGAAAGAGAGGAAGAGGAAGAAGAAGAAGAAGCAGAGGTGGAGGAGGTGGAGGATATATTTAGAGCTGCTCCTAATCAACTTCTCCGTCAGTTTGTGTCTGTGGGGGCGAAAGGGAGAGCGAGGGAGAGGGGGAGAGAGAGGGAGAGAGCCACGCAAGTTCAACACTAAAAATCAATATGCAGCCCACTCGCTCACCGAGAGCAGCGGAGAGAGGAAGAGAGGAGGAGAAAGTGAAAGAGAGAACAGGAAGAGGACAGGATGAGCCAGAGACAGAGGAGACGGTACCAAAGGGTTTCGTCAATGCGGTTGAGAGCGTCATGTAACAGAAACAGAAAAACGTAAGAAAACAATCCTCATTAAGGAACATATCCCGTAATTAACTCTCCGTTTGAATGGACAGTCATGTGTCCGGATGATAAAAACTGGAATTTACTCCATGAAAACTTTGGCTCAATCTGACTGAGCTGAAAACGGTGTGTGTTCTTCAAACTACGGTTTCTTTTACAACCCTAATTCCATAAAATGTTGATAAAACTGAATTTGAAGGTTTGCGAATCATTCAAAGTCTATTTCTAATCTTAATGTCCTCGGTCTCAAAAGCTCATACAGAAATTGGTAAAAGCGGTTTTGGTTTTTCTGCACCGTCGGTCTGGAATTTACTGCAAAATGACTTGAAACTCAAGGAGCTTGTATCATTGGATCTTTTTCTAAATCTAAAATGACAGAATTCAAGTAAAATACTTCACGATTGTTTTGCTGGTAGGTTACCTTGTTGCACAACTGGCTCTGAGGTTTTTTTTTCTTTTTATTGATCATTTCTGTGTTTGCAATTTTGTGTTTTTGCAGCTGTTTTGGAAAGGTCTCCCTTAAAAAATACATTTTTAATCTCAATGGGACAAACCTTGTTACACAAAGATTAAATCAGAATAAAAACAAGGCAAGTAACATGATTTAGTAAAAAAAAGAAAGGAAACAAGACATATCAGAAAGGCTGCCTCTTTCATAAGTAAAATGTGAAGAAGCTTAACAATTTGTAAGAGACTGTGTGAGCAAATACTCCAACACAATAAATCAAAACCACAAAGAATCGAAGGATTTTATCAACCACAGTGCATGATACCCAACACTGAATGTCCATGCATTACAAACAGACTTGACTCCATAATGGAAGTCACCACATGGGCTCAAATTCACTCCCAGAAGCTGTTTTCTGTTTTCCAACTGCATCCACAATCACAAGTTAAAACTGTACCACGCAATGAGGAAACTATGAATTAATATAAATTAAAATCTGACATTGTTTTTGGATATCGTGGACCTGCATTCTCCATGCAAAAGAAGCTTGTTATCAGCACACTGTTCAAAAACAGCATCCGTCATTGTATTATGACGTGCAAGTCTCCATGACAAAAGGTACCTTACACATCTAGGAAGACTCTATCACTGCTGAACAACATATACATATGCTGCTACACAGACAATGACCTTGCATGTTTCAGAAAGACAACAACTCTGCAGGTATTAAAAGCATGGCTCTGCAGTAGAAGAGTCTAAGGGCTCTATTTTGGTGCCTCGCCGGAGATCTGCCGCAAGCGCAGCGTCAATCAGATCCGCCGCGCTGACAAGGCGTTCCCAAGCACATTTTGGTATTTTGGTGAGCCGCGCAGCCCGGCGTAAGTATCCCCCCTCCCTAACTCAGCTCCTCCCAGCACCATAAGTCGTAGAAAGGGCGGTTAGTGGGCTTAACACAGCCGAGACCTGTTTTCACCAATCACATAGGCTCCTCTCCTTGCCTTTAAATCCGCCACAGGCGAGGCGTATTACTATTTTCATGAAGTAGTCAAAGAGATCAAGAGATGTCTGAAGACAGTTATGCCACAAGATGGCGACAGAGGGCAGCTCCTCAACAAGTGTCCTCCACACTCTCTCATATGAGCACAGATGGATTTAGTGTGCGTAATGTTGGACCCAGTGGTAAGACAAACACCCTTTTCCACAAATAAAGACACTCACATAAAGTTGCTCATATTCAAACCTCACGTGACAAAGGTCGGTTGAGCGCACAGATCACAACATAAACTCCAAAAATGGCATAAAAATCGGAACCATCTGTGCGTAAATGACGCATCGCGCTCCGTGGCCTGGCTCTTTCTTTCATAGATGTTGGCATATAAAATAAATTTGGATTACAAAACTGAATATTATAATATCCGTATGTCGGCTTAAAGTAGATAACGCATCTGAGCACTGAAACAAATCATCTGTTCAGCCGCAGCAGCAAGCAAGACGGACAGAGGACACGGAGACGTGTCCAGGTCGAGCTGTGCGAGAAATAAGAGGAAGAGGAAGAAAGAAAAGGAGGGAGACGAATTACATATCGAGTTAACTTCATCATGTGTGAATATTTACTAGATATTTAATTTAATTTGATGCGGTTTCAGCTGTGTTGATTCGGTCAGGTTGTGTGTCCAAACGCGTGCCAAACGCGCTCATCAGATCAGATATAGATCAGAATATATTTATATAGATCCAAATGTATGTGCTGACTCACATTAATAGTTGATGATGATTATTTATTGCACTGAAATCTGCCTGACACTGTGGAAACCTGCCGGTGAGGCATCAGTGACGTATGTCGATACGCCGCCGGTCTACCAAAATACTACTGGACCAGCTGCGTTCCGCCTTGCGCTGAAAGCTGACCAGGTTTGAATCGGCGAGCTTTCAGCGCACTTTACACGCCGGTGGCGAGCACGAAAATGTCACTGCGCCTGCTGATTCTGTCGACACCTCCCCCTGCCACACCACCACGCCCAGCTTGGCGGATCTCGGCTCGCCTCCGTGCGGCTCATGCCACGAAAATACCAAATTGGCCTTACGCTGGGCTCCGCCAGACGAAAATACAACTGCGCGGGACTCGCCGCCCTCCGCCGCCTCACCGGCGCGAACGAAAATAGAGCCCTAAGTGTCAAACTGGCCCATCTGCACCCATCAAAAACACATCAAGACAAACACATCCTGCGAGGGGCGACTAAAATCCATGACATCTTCATACTTTCCGCACTAAGGCAGGTTGAGACATGTTCGACATTTTGTTTTGGATGGTCTTGAGCATTTAAACTTCTTACCTTTCAGATGAGATGGAAAAGAGCACCTGAGAGCGTGTCGGTACGTGGTGAGATCACTGTGGGCTGCAGCAGAGAAGACCTGAAAGTTTGAAATAGAAGATAATATCACACATAGTGTAACGATCCTGTCCTGCATCTGTGTTAATGAGCGTGCAGAGAAACGTATCAATGCGGACATTGGCTTTATTGCTAGTAGGCTAATTAGCAAGTTAGGCATACCAACATAAACGTAAGAATCAGCCAGTTTGAATGCTAAGTTGTTCCTATTCAATATTCCTGCTAACAAGCTCTTAAACTGCAGTAAACTGCGTATATTTGCTAACAATGTGACCCTAATGGCTTCAGTATGAAGTAAACAGATACTCAGGGCCACCCACTCAGAGGCTGTGAGGCTGCAGCAGCTTTTCCAATAGATCCTAAATGACCTTTGATTTCCTCCCTCCAATAAAAAAGAGAAACGGTTAATTTTGAAATCTCTTTGATAAGGTTTGGATGGATCTTTGTTGGACCAAAATTGGAGCTCTCTTCAAGGGTTCCTCAATATTTTCAGGGCGTTCGTAGCTTTAGATTCCATACAAATCTCTGCTTATGTGTGAATATTGATAGATCTGACTTTAGGTCAATACTGTGTGGGCTATAATGAAGCTGAGATGCAGAAATGATAGCAGCAAGATCATTTAATACACCATGAGGAGGAGGTGGAGGGTTAGCGCTCATATACTGTAGAGTAGCCTGTTTTAGAACAACCGTCTTCAGTGTCCACCAACCCCCCTCACAACAATCTCTCATTAGCTGGTGATCGATCGCCTCCCTGTGTAGCCCACACACAGAGAAAACGCAATTAGAGCATTGACCAAACGATTGTGTGAACTGGTGCTCGATAGGTGATGATCACCTGAGAGGGGGAGCAGAGCGGGTCATGAGGGAGAGAGCTGGAGTCAACAGGTGAGTGGGTGAGTTTGGGGTGAGGGACTGTTGAGGACAAACCGGGATTGGATTGTGGGCGTTTGGACAGAGGAGGTGCAGAAAGGACAAATGACAACAATGAGGAATAGAAATTTTTTAAGGACACTTACTGATGATCAAAAGAGTAATCTGAAAGGGTTACTGAAGAGGATATAGGGTACCTTGAAACAGTATTTCAAAATAAAATATGAAGTGGGAGTATAAGGGGAATAATGACACAACAGGGTACCTCAGAGACAGAGTTAAAAGGATATTCCTGCGTAAAATTAAGTTAGGATCAAACACACCGTAACACCAAGTTAGACACCCCGTCGAGAGATGAATGTTGCAGACCTTCTCTAGTCATACCAACTTTAGTGATGACCGCAGATAGCAATACAGAGAGCCACGCGCTCAACCAAAACGCCATTCTATAGCCACAAATAATGCTCAGAACAGCACCTAACTTCATCAACAGTACATAAAGGGTCCCAGCCACAGCACTAGCCACCAAAAATCTTTTTAACTTTGCCTTATTTCTTCAGCAAAGAGATTCACCAACTCTCTTACAGCAGCCGCTTGTTTACAGAGACCTCCGGGCAGTGGGGTGACGCAGCTCAAGGAAGAACATTTATGAACATTTCTTTATCATTTCCTTGAAGTAATAATCATCATATTAATCATTTTGCACTGCAGATTCAGTAGTTCTTCTGCCATAACATCTCTGTCTGATTGCATTATCATGAGGACATGATCATAAATGTTCTTCCTTGAATTGCGTCCCCCCACAGCAGTAATGGACTCGCCTGGAGGTCTCCGTACAAACAAGCAGCCGCTTGTTTGAGTACCTTAAAACTGATGCTATAAAAGGTACCTTGAAAGAGATGCATAATAATACATCCGCAGATCCCTAAAAGGGTACCTTGAGACAGCCATAAATAAGACTTCATAGTACCTGAAAATATACACTATACAGTACCATGAAAAAAATCGCAGCACTGTATTTTTAACTCATGCATCAAGGAGAACTTTAACTGAGACAACATGTTGCCTATTAAAGCAAATTCAATATCTTTAGACAGTAAGTAAAATTTAGATCGTAAAATATGCTACAGGGTTCCTTGAAACAGAACCTTGGCGTCGCATCATACCGACTTAATGTTTGTCTCGTGAATCGACCAATTAACGTTGAGCCACTGTACCTCAGCAGAGTCCTACAGGTCTGTTAGCATGTCTGTGCACTCTCTGCC